CCAACATGTTTGCAGACAAAAGACCAATACATACAGGTGGTCTATTTACAGGCATTTACATACAGAGCTAAACAAAGCCATATAATAACCATGCTCAAAATGTGTTGTACGTGAGCCTTGGCCAAACTATAAATCATTCACTGCCCCTCTGAGATGGGATCTGACTCCATTACAACATAACCGTGTCTCATCCAAGTAGGAATGACACACAGTTGTATCTACTAAAAATGTAAGAATTAATCTCATTGCACAGTTCCCTTGTGAATAGTACATTTTACAGGCAAGGTAAAATGATCTTTATTGTGCATTGGTAATCTTCTATTAGGAATTAGCATCATTCCAAACTAATGTAATTATCTAAACACAGTGTAATCTGCAATTAAAAAAAAAGCATAAAAAAAAACCAAAAATAAAACAACATTGTCCCCAGGCAAACTAGATTATAATGGGAGGAGAGAAAGAAGAAAAAAGTAGGGTTTGCCCATAAAAGGAATATTTCAGTTTTCTGATATATCTCTAAAATCAGATGTACTAAAATGCTCCAGGTTGGCTTTTTCAGAAATTAGTCTAAGTTTTGTTCTAGAGCTCAACAATTCTGACTTTTGAGAAGTCAGAACCTCTAGCTGGTATGACCCCTGTAAATCTTCTACATCGGGAGCTTCTAATAATTGAACGATTGGATGACTAAAAAGCAGCAGAGACCAGGATGTACGATAGTGCTTTGAAAACTAAATTCTCATAAATTACCCTGTCATTAAGTAAAGTCAACCCAAAATTTGTTGCCATTCATCACAGCAGAAATATTAAGGCAGTCTGCTTCCTTCCTATTGCTGGAAGAAAGTTTGTATGTGTCTTAACTAGACTTTATAACATAGGAGACAGAGGGTGGGAATCAAGAAAATTCATCAAAGTCATTGGGCTGTTCGTTTCTGCAGGTATCTCCTGTCTCCTTAAGAGCACTAGTATACATGCTGCAAGGATTAGAACAATGTGTTTATCTGCCTCACTGCACCTGCCATGAGCTTTCTCTTTAATTGATCTAATCCTCAAATGCTAACCCTTCTCTAAGAGTTTACAACCAGGTGTCAGAAGTGGCAGTAAGCAAGAGTCACAGTGGTGGGGAAAAATAAAAGCATAACTAAGTGGAAAAGCAAGCTGGCTATCACCTTCTCTGCAAGATAGCCACACTTGACTTCTCTTTGCACACTCTGAAAGAAAAAGCAGGAAGATCAGCAATCTGTGTACTTCCCTTCCTGCAGACAGGCTACACAGACAGAGGGCTCAAGTGTATCAGCAAGTTTTGCTTATCACCCACAAGATGAGAGTAAATTGTCTGTTTACATGTACTTAGTCCATCACAAATGCAAGGCAAAATATATCAGTTTAAACCTCTCTAGATTAAAAAGTACCTTAAGCCTGAGATTCAGTCTTGGCTTCCAGGCTAAATCTGATTTATACAAATGCAATCTGATTTACTACAAATCCAGAAACAAAGCAGAGCTAGTCATGCCTGATACAGAAGCAGACTGCCAGTCAGGCAAGGAAGGTTTCTATTTCTGGCTGTGCTAACAGGTCTCTAGGCAAGTCACCTCACCCACTCTGCTTCAGGCCAACAGCAGTAAAGTGAGAACAATATCAGCAGGCAACCTTAAAGCACACTTTAATTTTCAAATAAGCACTCAAATACAAAACATTACACTGGAACACACTCCCGAGAAGGACTGGAAATAACTGTGGAAACATGACAGTTTGCAAAACCACCAGTCTCAAGCCCTTTCTCAGACAACAGCCTCCTCCTATCCCACAGTGGTTTCCAGGAACAGACTTCTCTTAGATCCTCACACTGGGATCAAAACCAGCCCCACTCCTGATACAGCGGTTGCAGCACAAGCGGAAAGATGAGGTAACTCACGTGTGTGCTACGTACCATAGTAAGGTTCAAAGAGCTCACTGGAGGCAGAATAGAAATCCTCTAGTTTGAAGTCGTTTGGTCCTTTCAAGGTCATGCCAAATCCTTTGGCGTGCCACTTCCGCCTCCACAGGACGTACTCAGAGAAGCCCCCAGGACCAGCACACACGTCAGCAAAGTAAAGCAGCTCTGCGTCTCGCTCCTTTATCAAGGGCCTCTGCAAAAGGAAACTGAGCACATTCTACTGACCCAGTAACAGCTCACATTGGTCAAACCAGATATACCATCAACTGCTCCACCTAGACTGTTTCTTTTAAGCACCTGCTTTCTCAGCTAATGTACTATGGACTGTCCTCTCTCTCCATCTTCCCCATTCTCGGAGACAGCACCACTGTCTGAAAGTTAAACAGAAGGCCTCACCCCATGGAAGTCCTTAGGATTTGTAAACATGTAGTCAAAGACATGGTCCATATTTGCCATCTTCATTGCAGCTCTGTGAACACACAAAAAGGGACCTATTAGGTTTCAATCTTGGTTCCCAAGGACAAAAGTAGGCAAAAATAGGAAGGGGGCTACACAACCAGAACCCCTGCAAACCTGTTCAGGAAGAAGACTCCACGGATCATCTCATAAGGGTTAGACCTCGTCCGGGCTCGACGCATTTCTTCTCCATCCAGCTCATCAAATACACTCTGCACAAACAGAAATAAAACTGAGCCAGACTTGCTACAAGGTTGAAGGACAGCTAGGCATGACCATTTCCTATCCTCACATTTCTCTCTTCCTGGACATCTAACTCTGTACTGCATTTGGTCTGCACAACACAATTACTTAATCAGTCACGTAGTATCTAGCAATTCTAAGCCACAGTATTTCTCAATGGAATTCAGCAATACTGAATTCTGTATTAACGGCTCCACAACCTGATAGCCTGGTTAGCCACCTAAGAAGCAGTCACAACCCAAGAGTCTTCTTCTCAGACACGTGCACACCCACACTCTGCCTTTCCACTGCACTTCACAATGGCATGATCAAATCTAGAAGGGGAGATGGAACACACAAGAAAGGAAAGGGAGTTTAATTCCTTAGCTCATTCAAGTCTTCAGACTTCCACCTGAGGTGGCTAAAAAAGGGAGAACACTGGTTTCATTCACCTCTTTGAATGTCAAGATGCAAAGGACATAACAGAACAATTAGGATTCGAGGCCATACTGGTGGCATAGAGGTGAGGATGTCCCGGCACCTACTGACCACATTACTCAATCTCCTCCAATCATCCATTTCACTTGCTTCTCTAAAGTCTAAACTCCTCTCCAGGGAAGGGAACTCACCTTGCACTGCAGCACATTACGTAAAAGCTCTTCACCACAGAACTCAGTTTCATCTTCAATCACCATCTTCCTCTGGAGAAGGATGAGAACACACAGACAGCAGTCAGCACACACAGGATCAGTCATTTCAGAATGCAACATGCAACAGTGATGGTGAAGCCTGCCAAGCACAAACTGGGCCAAATTAGCAAACAGGCAGCCAGCAGGCTCAGGGACTATTCCCCTCTACTCAGCATCTTGAGACCATATCCATGTGGGTATCGCATCCAGTTTAGGATCCCCCAGTACAAGACAGAGAGATTGAGATACTGGAGTGAGTACAGCAAAAGAGCCACCAAGATGCTGAGAGGGCAGATCTTGTTGTCTACTACCTAGTGGTAGGAAATAGAGAATATAGAGAAGATTAATCTAGACTCTTCTCAGAGGTACAGAGTAATAGGACAAAAAGCAATGGACAAAAGCTACAACATAAAATAAACTATATAGGCTTTTTTTTTTTTTCTTTTTGCCAAGTTAGTAGTCAAACACTGAAACAGATGCTCACATAGGCTGAGATCTTCCCATCTTTGGGGATACACAAAACTCATTCAAACAATGCCCTGAAGAACCTGATCCAGTTGGACCTGCTTTAAGCAGGAGGTTGCACTAGTAACCTCCAGATGTTCACTCTAGACTAAATTATTCTATAATTCTTTGACAAGAAAACCATTCCAGGACAAGTGCTCATGCATCTTCTTAGGCTGCTAAGTACTGATATCTAGAAAGTTACCTTCCCCACAGTCATCCATTCCTTCAGCTCCTGGGCATCAGGGATTTCTGTGGTGCATCCTGCACACCAGTCTACCTCCTCATAGGCACTGGGCTGCAAGCACAATACATGAGAAAGGTCAGAGAATATATATATATATTTTTAATAAAATGTAACAACTAAATGTTCCTAAAAAGCTTGCCACTCTGTCCTACTATAACAGGCTTACACGATGATTTCTGGGCCAACCACAATTTTCTCTCCTAGCTTGTAACATGTCATTCCTTTGGGGAAGAAACAAACTTTCTTTGATCAGAGCCCTACAAATAATCAGGGTACACTTTAAAGTTAATGCCTTAAGGTATGTTTTAGAGATATTGCAAAGAAGATAGTTAAGGGTGGGGGGGCGGAACAAAACAAAGCAAAACACCAACACACACATCTTGAGGATGCTTTACACATCCTTTCTCCCTAGTTCTTTTTGAAAGACTCTCATAACACAGCTAGCTCAAGCTTCAACCAACTTTTGTTCAGTCTTGACAAGGAATTGTTTCTGTAGTAAAGATTAAAGTGACTCCTCACAGAAGGGTACTAATAATCACTTGCCTTTCCCTTAATTGTATTTATTAAAGCTATTATAACAGCACATAAAACTTAATTGCACTACTAATTGTGCACTTAATTGTGCTTAACTGAGCTACAGAAACACATTGGACAATGAGTCCTGACCCAAAGAGCCTGCAGAAGAGTTCTCAAACTCCTGGCTTTCAAGAAATAACAGCAGAGGTTATTTGTAACTGCTGAAAATAAAACAAAAAGTGGTAAAATATATATCATACTTCATGTGATGAGCATTATTGTCCTTGGCTTACAAGACTTCATTGCTTACTCTCCAGAGAACCAAATCCCTAGGATTCAGTTTTGGTTTTGTTTGTTTTTAACATAACACATACCAGCTACTTCACACCAAACAATATCAAAGCTGGACTTTTTGATGACACTCATTGCTATTTCCCAGTTTTCCGCCCTGTTGAAGAGCTTGACAAGATGCAGGAATACAGGGGCTATTAAGCACAACCTGAAAATATACTTAAAAAAAACAAATAAACAAAACACCCACTTACAGATGCACAGAAAACCACTGACAAACAAAAAAAATGGTAAATATAAAGCAGCTTGATAGCAATCTTCAATTATATCCACTCCTACAAACACAGGAACAAACTGTACAGATCACAGGAACAATCTTCAGACCAAGCTTGCACTAGAACATGAATACCTGTGACCAAAACCAAGTTTTGATGTGCTTTTCTGGAACAGAATGAGACCTGGATCTACCCAGCATAGCCATTTGACAACAGCCAGTTTTATCAGAAAATGGTAAAAAACATTCCCCCCAGGTGAATCCTGAAAACATCAACAGAAAACTGATTCAAAACAGGACATACTCACCTCTGGTTCATCCTGCCAGTCAATATTCAGCTCCCCATCAAACCCTTTGAGGGTCAGTCCAAAGCCTCTCCTTCCTTTCTGATTGGAGGCCTCAACGATATCCTTTCTGCCTTGGCCGTATTTTCCCAGGCCTTCTCCTTCACGGAAGCCCATCTTGGCCTATAAGGAAAGCAAAGGATGAGACAAAGGGACATGAATTTATGCACTGCTGGAGTCAAAGATTAGCAAGGAAAATGATGCATCACACTGAAGTGACTTGAAGGCATTGAACACTGTTAATCTCAACTGTGGCTTTCAAAACTTGGAATCAAGTTCACTTCACTGAGGCAGGAGGGAAAGAACGAGATCCAGAAAACGATGCTTGAAAAGACAAAGACATTACAAAAAGTTCAGTAATGCAGAAACAGAGGCTGCTCAAAAGCAAAAGCAGTGACGAGCCAGGAGGCCACTGAACACCAAGTTCAGTGAGTGTGGATGGCTCATAAACCAAAAGATACTAGCACAAGGGGAAAAAAAAAATCATATTGCAATGATATTTTTTGCTGTGAAAATGCAGTCACATATGTACAGACACACCTGCAAGCACCAGTTAAAACTGCACCTAAAACTCAGAGAAGGGTTGAAAGACTGATATAGAAAAGCAGTGCTATCTTCATTAACCTCTTCTTTTAAAGGCTTTTAACATGAGCATAACGTAACATAAAAGCAACATGAACGTGAACAGAGTCAATTCCACCTCTTCCAGTATACATCCACAAGACCGTAACTAAATAAAAGACCTAAAAAAGTGTCACTTCAAAGAATAAATTACTTTATATGTTGCTTTCTGTAAAGCATCAATTACATTATTTATTTCTGGTCTATACGAGAAGGGATGAAAAAATATGACTCAGGCTTTATACAAAGGTACATGGTGTTCCACCACTGCCTTTGTTATCTGGGTCTGAATTTTCTGCGTTATCATACCTTGAAATAGGTACATCAGGTGTGACAGCCACTCAGCCTGTTGCACACTAACTTTCTCAGAAGAGAATTCTGAATATCTTTTACTTACCTAATGCTATTCAGCAAATCAGAACAATCTTTATATCCAAGTCTATAAAGCTATACAAACAAAAGCCTTCTTAGTTCAGCCATGCAGAGTGCCCAGAACAGAGGTGACTGAGCACAGAGGAGCACCTTAGCAATCAGCAAAGTGGCATCTGGAACCTGCTGAGTTTTAAATTCATCAACAGCTGAAAAGTTCCTGTTTTGTAAAGGTAGGATCCTGCTCAAAGGTAGGATCCTGCAACAGTTAAA